ACGACTCAGCACTTAGGATGTAATTGCTGCGTCTAGTAACGTCTCTCCATCAACCTTCTCCAGCCAATAGCCATCAATTTTCCATCCATCCATCTATCACCAACGAAATGGTTATTTCAGCCGGAAGGCAGCTAAAAATTTCAACGGGTTCCGGCCCAGATGGCGTACCATCGTTAGTCCTCAAACACTGCCTGACTGCTTTCGCGACACCTCTAGCCAACGTTTTCAATCTCTCCTTGATGTCTAGCGTATTCCCAGCTTGCTGGAAAGAGTCTTTCGTGTTCCCAATCCACAAGAAAGGCTGCAATAGGACTGTTTCAAACTACCGTGGAATAGCTTCGGTAAGTGCTACCTCCAGACTTTTTGAGTTGATTATACTCGAGAAATTGGTTCAAAGTTTTGCACACTGTATCTCGACGGATCAGCATGGCTTCATGCCTAAGCGTTACGTTCACTTCGTTCATCATTTGTGAAGTAGAACGTGGCCATCAAGACGATGCCATCTACACTGACCTCTCCGCAGCATTTGACAAAATGAACCATGAGATTGCGTTGGCTAAATACGACAGGAAAGGTGTTCACGACGGCCTGCTTACTTGGCTCTACTCCTACCTGACTGGTCGAAACATGTCTGTCAAGATTCGAGACTATTAGCGAATTCGTTTATTATCGGGGTTAACACCAGTTCCAACCCAGTGCGAAACCGAACTTTTTGTCAGTGTAAACCTCAACCTGAGCTAGGTTTTAAAAACAAACGAGCAAACTGACGGTTGTCAGAAAACAAGCAGACCCAATCTTGATACCCGATCCAGGTTGGAACTGAGTAATAAACGAATTCGCTATATGTTTCTTCATCCTTCATCCACCGGGATGTCCGGCGTTCTCCCGTCAATGCCATCCTGAAATGCCTTCAACTATCGTATGCGGATGCTACAATGTATTTGACTTCAATGGTTCCCGTTGTAGAAATAAGTGCAATTTCAAGAGTATTTTAGGTTAATTTGTTTAGAATTAGTATACTGTCATTGGGGTTACCTGTTGACCTTAACATAAATAAATAAATAAACTACACTTCAGATCTTAACTTTCCTCCCTTCGTTCTTCAAAACCACTATATTTCGCTTAACTTCTCTCTCTGAACTCATCCCTGGAGTTTTTGGAACTTGCCTAATGTCCTGGCAATTTAGCAAACTTTCCTGAAGATCATGCAATTTAAATGACCTTGATTTTCCAAATGTCCTTGAAACTTCCTGAAAGTTCCTGCAAATTCTTTAAATTAATGTGACAGCTTGAAAGTTATCTAAACTTCCCCCAAAGTACTCTAAATTTAATAAAATTTGCCCTTAATTCCTCTCAACTTCTCAGGCATTGTTTTAACTACGCTGAGGTTTTTTTTTTTTTTTATTTAACTAGTTCGTTTATTTACTAGGCTCAGTCAAGATCAGTAATGTTTGATTTACATTTTAAATAGCAGTATTTCTAGGTTAGTATTGGTTACCAATTACGCGTGGCAGGCTCGAGGTTAATGGGTAACAATTTCGATTGGAAGGATCTAGGTAGGAAACTGGTTTCTGAAGCCTCCTTCAGATACTACTCTCGTATCTGATAATTGCTGAAGTCTGGCATTTTTAAGCATAAGTTTTCAACATTGCTCTGAAGTTTACAGAACTTTCCTTAAACCACTCCGGCGTTCGCATGATGCTCCGCTAATTTCCAGATACGCTCAGAATTTTGTTGAAGTTTCCGAAAATTTGTTACATATAGTTAATGGAACTGCCCTGAGGTTTTGTATGTTCCAAAAGTACTCGAAATACTGTTCACGAGAAATTAATGAAACTGTCGTAAAAATATTAAAACTTCTCTTTAGCTCACCGGTCTTGTTAAAGTCCTGATATATATCTGAAGATTTCAAAAACTAGAAACTCATCCTTACAGGTCTTTAGACCACACCAAAAGTCTGGACTTTCCAAAAGTTCTCGAAACTTCCCTGAAGTTATCATAACGTTTCCTCAAATTTCCTCATGTTTTCAGGCCTTTTGTGAAGTTGTCTGGAGTTCCTTTAATTCTCGGAATTTACTGCATCTCCTCTGAAGTTAATTAAACCGCCTTGAATTTTCCGGAACTTTTCTGAGGTTCCTTAAATATTGCAGAAGTTTTCTGAACATTCCCAATGTTCCATTAGTCTGAAATTCTGGGAATTTACTTTCAATCCTCGTAACTGAGCAGATCCTTGAGATCTAGTAAATAGATCTGAAATGAATGAAACTTTTCATAATTGTTTGTTATGGTCAATCATTCACAATTTTGCAAAAATTTAGCCATTTTGAATCTCGTAAAAAGCTGCTTTCTCATCCAATCATAAATCAAAAACGCCACCTCCTATCGGAATGACGTTTTAGAAAAAGTTGTAGGAATAAGTGAATCCTGTGCAGGGAAAATCAGCACGGAAAAAAAATCTATCGAATTTGGGTAACATATCAAAAAAGTGTTACAAAAATTCTATAAACGACAACTTTTCAACATTTTTTTAAAATTTTTGTTTGGTCAATTTTTTGATTTTTTTTTTTAATCATGGTAGGCCGCGATGAAAAGTCGACGTGTTTTATTTTTGCAGCTGTACTTTTTTCGAGCGAATTTGTGTGATGCTATGAAGTTTCAAACGCGGTAGATGATTACTAAAGTATATTTTGTGTTTCAAGAAAAAAAACTTTAGAAATGTGACCTAGTCGAGGGAAACCCATTTAAAAAAAATGAAGAACCCAAAAATGAAGTGTCGAGGAGGGAATCCTCTGGAACAGATTTGCGGGCAAAACGGAAGAAGAGCGAAGATATCGCATACTCGCAAAGAATGGGAGAAGGAAGTTTCGTGACGGCTTTGGATAGTATTGAGTAACTGGTAGAATATGGTGAGATTTTTCCGAATCTTTATTCGGTTGCTGATATGGCCAAAACCAGGCCCAAGAGACAATTTGTAGTTCATCATTCTAGGTCCCTATGATTTTCCGCTGAGAAGCTGTTCAGAAGCCAAGTAGAACCTCCACGAGGTGTCCCATCATTCGTTAAGTCGCAGCGTTGAACCTGACTAAAGTCTGGAACGCGCAAAAATTGGTTAACTTCAAATTGGTGTATTTCTGTTAAAAATGCATAAACAAAACCTCAAATGCTACATTTGGAAGTTGTGTGTATATACAATGGTTGCTATGATGAGTTTTCACCGTTTGCTTTCAATTTTTCAAAATGACGTCCAAGCAAGAGGAGCAGCGTGTCAAAATTTTGCTCGCGCAGCAAGAGAATCCGACGTTCTCACACGCCAAGTTCACAAAATTGCTGGATGTGGCCAAATCGACCGTGACAAACGTTTTAAAAGTGTTCGGGAGCGTCTTTCGACCGCCAGGAAGCGTGGAAATGGCGGCAATCGTAATCCGGACGAAGCAGCGACGACGAAGAAGGCGGCGGTTAAATATAAGCGGAATCCTAACCTCTCCATCTGGGACGTCGCTGGCAAGCTCAATGTCTCCCACACTACTGTGCAGCAGGCCAAGAAACGAGCTGGGTTGTCGACGTTTAAGAAGGTGTAGGTGGCGAACCGAGATTACAAACAAAACACGTCGTCAAAGCAGCGGTCCCGAAAGCTGCATACGAATCTGCTCACAAAGTTCGATTGTGTCGTCATGGACGAAGAAACTTATTTGAAGGCGGATTTCAAGCAGCTTCCGGGATAGGAGTTTTATACCGCATCAGGAAAAGAGAAGGTGGCTGAAATTTTCAAAACCATCAAACTATTGAAGTTCCCGAAAAATATCTCGTCTGGCAGGCCATATGCACGTGTGGTCTAAAAAGCGACATTTTCATTACTAAGGTAACCATCAATCAAGAGATCTACGTCCAGGAGTGCCTGGAAAAGCGGCTGCTACCTTTCCTAAAGCAACCTTTACCTTTCCTAAAGCAACATAATAGACCTGTGCTGTTCTGGCCGGACTGGGCGAGCTGTCACTATGGAAAAAGGCAATCGAGTGGTACGATACGAACAACGTGGTTGTGGTACACAAAGACCACAACCCTCCCAACAGCCCAGAGCTCCGCCCTATTGAACGGTATTGGGACTTGGTCAAACGGAATCTAAAAAAAAAACTAATAATTCCATGGAAAACGAGCAGTAGTTTAAATCTAACTGGCGTTCGGCGGTGAATAAGGTCGATGAGACCACTGTGCAAAATTTAATGGAAAGGGTTAACCGGAAGGCACGGCAGCTCGGATTTGGCAGAACAAAAGAATAAACGAACATTTTTTCCTTTAAATATATGAATTGAACTACCAAAACAAAAATAAGAAGATTTTTGTGATATGAATTTTGACTGAAAGAAACGATTTTTGTGTCGACCAATTTTTGCTTGCCAATGCACATCAAAAACCGACTACATACATCCGAACATTTGTTTATCTTAAATCGACGGAAGACATTCCGCGCAACTACTATAAACCGGACTAGTTCATGTTGAACTTCATCAAGCTTCTTCTACAATTTGGATTTATGCATCAACACATGTCAAGCAGCCTTCAGGTTCAATTGGCTAAACTTGGTGAGTTGTATATTCCATTTTGTATATTTTTATCTTTTCAAACCAGTCACGTTGGGAGATCACCTTTTTGTGGTGGTGGTATAAGATCTACCACCGAACCCTAGTTGTGACAACTTCCATCTAGGGAATCAGGATTTTCCAGTTATCAAAGGATCACATTTTAGTTCTTGTTACTTTTTATGCCTTGATAACAGTGACAAGACTCAGGTAGTGATCACCGCCGTTATGCATTTCTATATTGTATATTTCAAATCAAAAATATTGTTTATGTTCATAGATTTCACATAATTCTTTTTCCTTTTTCGTTCTCCTTTTCCTTTCCCTCTTTTCTTTTCAGAAAGCGAGTAATGGTGCTATAGCTATAAGCCATAAAAGGCTAGGACACGAGTTGGTGCTCATGCCGCAACCGTCAGAAGAAAATGGAGCATCACTTAACCTTTCTAGCTTTGATGCTTCCAACGACCAATCAATCATATAATTACTAAAATCGGAACGTACGGTACGAGATGTCCACGTTTCATCCATTTATTGGATTCTGAAGTATCGTGTTTAAATCTTCGATTTAAACAGGCCCGATGTTTTCTGAATCATCTTGCCCCTTAAATGCTGCACAGTAGGCCTGGCCGTTTTGTTATGAGTGACGCATCTTTTTGAAGCTGTGCATCTTTTTCTGAAAATAACTATTTTTAACAATTTTGTCTCACATGTCGTTTCGATTGGAATGACGTTTTCGTGTTATGATTTGTTGACAAATTTAGAATACACCAAATTCAAAATGGCCGATTTTTTGTAAATCTGTATCGACCAAATGATCTATAAAGATCGAACTGAACATTGACGAAAGTAAAAGCCATGCTAGTCTGAACATCCTAAAATAACATTCCAAATCATACCAAAAATTGTCCCACGGAATCCCATCCGTTCGCTATTCCGCTCATCCTAATGGCCAATTCGAGAAACGCTTGCTCCCTGAGATCATGCTGCAAAGAGATCGATCCCGAATCCTACTACTGAAAGCGATTTGGAAACTGCGGCTTAACAAAGTGTGTTTCAAGATGAATTTGTGAAAGCGTGGCCGCCGATGATTCTACTTCATGTTTGCAATGCAATGTGTACTGTCTCTGTTTGAGGTCGTGCCCGAACGATGCTGTGAGTAGTTGGTAATCATTAGCCTATTTTGTCTGGATGTTACACAAATAGTATTCGACTGCAATATATGGTTTTCGCGTCTTCTAAACATTAGATAACAAGACAGGAAACTGGAGTGCATTTCTTGTTTCGTATGTGGGTACTCTGTGAGCTCCTCCCATCATTTTCAAAGAGCAGGATCGAAAGTAATGCTGTGAACAGGTGTTTTTTTTTTCTTCGAGTATATGTGATGTGTTTTGTGTGTGTGTGTGTGTGTGTGTATATATATAGATAGAGTAATAACATCCTAAATCTACCCTGTCGTGATGTGGTTTATGTGATAACATTCTGCCTATCGTAGAGATTAGAGATATCAAATCATCGAGAATCGAGAGTAAGAGATTAACCCCCGCGTGGATACAAGCGCGCAAAGATGAAAACCATTCAAAGGGGGGTTAGGGGGGGATCCCATTCGGCTCCGGATTATACACTGAGCCAAACGAACTCGGGTAATTAGATGCTAAAGAAAGCTCTTACAACTGGGGTAGTATTTGTGTACGTACTGCGTCCGCAAGGGTTTAGGATTCGTCCGGTTTGGATCCATCCGGATTGCCCCAGAAGCGGTCGAACCGGTCCCGGGCCTTATCCAGCACTTCGGACGCCACGTTCCGAGATCCGACCGGTGAGTTGATGTCCGTCTCGAAAGCCGGATCATCCAGACAGCGCAGCGTTGATCCCGGTACGGGTTTATCGAACCGAACTGGCTCCGGGTTGCTTTGTGCTGGGGCAGGAGCAGAACTGGCCTCAACCACCGCCTCAGTAGTGATTGGTTGCGGGACTGCCGTGGTGGTTGCTGCAACAGATTCAACTGGAACGACTACCGATATCGGCTGGTTTACGGATGAAGCGATCGACGATTTGGATTTCAGCAAATCTTCATCTTCGTCTTCGGACTCCTTGATCGAATCGGGTTCCAATTTGGTATCTACGGGATAAAGAACAAGGTTAGCGGCAATGCCTGAGAAGGATGGCGAAGGATACGTACTGGGCAACTTCGATTGCTCTGAAAGCTCTGGCGGTGCTGATTGTGGTGCTGGTGGTGGATGATCCACTGGAGTAGAAGCCTTGATTTCGCTATGTGGTCGGATCATAGGATCACCTTCGAAACACAAAAATATCATAAGCATTATCATCTGTACTCTCTGTACTAGATAGGATCCTCGTGGAAACACCATGCCTTCATTCATTTCATCACTAACATGCAATTTTACAAGTTCTTTATTATTTTTTTTTTTCAAAGAATATACTACTCACGTTCGAGATTAATAATCTCCCTCACCATGCCAATCGAAATAAAAAACGGAAGAAAATGAAATGAATGTCCGATGCTCACCTGCGAGGCACTCACCTTCTCGTACGTTCTGGGTGACGGTGAAGGTTTTACCCGTGTCCAGGGGAACGGTCCAGTTGACCGGATCCGGCGAACGCATAATGATCTGCTCGGGTGATTTGACTCGGGTCGGCTCCGGCGGCGATTTGATGATCTGCTCGGTGATTTCCGGTGGCGGCAGTGGGCTGGCACTGGACACCGACACGCCACCGTCCTTTTCGGCGTCGTCCTCGTCTGCATGAAATGAGTAGAGCCAAACAGAAGTATCACTCAATCAGTGCTGGCGGGGCTGGGCTGCTGGCGGGTGTGTAATACTAATCAATCTACAACGTGGACACAGCCGGGAAATCAAGATCAAGATCAAGACAGAAGAAATACAGAGCAACCCAAAAACAGGAATGGAAACCAAACCGGAAAAGAGACGATAGGTCACTTTTTTTTTGTACGGAAAGAAGAATAGAAGAAAGTGAGACAAAACAAAGAAGGATGGATGAAGATGACGATCGTGATGTCGTGCAAATGTGGCTTAGAAAGATTCGATCTGTAGAAAGGAATAATATCACTGTGAAAAAAATATTTCAAATCACCCACAACATTTGTACACGTCTGTTCAGATGTATTCATTTAACATCAGACATGTTACTTTAACGTGTGTTAATGTATGGTAGATAGTAAAAACCTGGAGGAGGCCAAGAAGTTGCAAAACCAACTGGATAAGATGACAAGTAGCGGTGGTTTTCGGCTCAGTGGGAATACAACAGTGCAGAGGTATTGCACGGTATCTCCGACGATAATCTAGCGATTTATCCAGTGGACGGCATCAATCTCGATCCAGATCCATCAATAAAGGCTTTAAGTTTAAGTTGACTGCTCGGAAAAGATATCTTCCGCTTCTAGTTTGATGTTCCCCCTGTTGATAGCTATGAAATTCTTTCCAAATTCAAGGTTTTGTCGATCATCGCTACGATGTTCGATCCGCTAGGATTTATCCGTGCTACAACGACAGCTGCAAAGGTGTTCGTTAATGCAGCTTTTATGGACGTTGGAGGATGAAAACTCCATATTCAGCTACCTTAACTAAATTTGAATAGATCGTTGCGTGATCATTCCCAACCCAGCGAAGGTGGAGATCCATTGTTTTCTTTTCGGATATGTCGAAGAAGGCATTTGGCGCATGCCTCATCATGCGAAGTCAAGATCAGAACGGGAACATCAAGGTTAGGCTTCTATCGTGGAAATCCAAGGTCGCTACTCTTAAAACTCAATCCATACTTAGCTCAACTCTTCGGAAAGGTACGTCAATATTCAAGGCTGCACAACATTTCCATCCAGGCACCTCCGTTTACGTAAAGTTGCTATATTTATAGTCTGACGGATATAATTTCGATCTATCAAAAAGCGGAACCAATTGTAACAAGGTTACAAGTATTCAAAAAAATAAGTCCTAGAATACAGTCCTACACAACCCCATTAAAATTACTATTTTCACACGAGCGAATCGCGTTCCTAGTCTCTGGACTCGAACCGGTCAGAAACGTCAGGCGAGGAATGTCGAATGACGACGGGTAGGTAGAGTTTATGCCACCGGAAAAACTCTCCCAAGTGTGTATAATGGGACACGAATTCTGACCTGACAAACTTCGGTTCGATACGGGGTCGTAAAAGTACACGGCTGTCCAAATGAATGCTATCTGATCTCAACTGCGTTACCGATCACACGGTCAAAGATAGTTTATCTAGTGAAGGCAAGAATTAAAAGAAGTAGGAGTACCTAGTCGATGTAGAAAGGTCTAGGGGTTAAAAAAAAGCCGTTTGCTGAATTAGTGATTTTTTCCGGGTTTGTAGAATAAAAGTGCGAGTAAATTTTGCTTTACTAAGCCAGTTCAGTTTACAGCTAGGGAAGCCATAGTGTAAAGTGTGAGGACGCTTCGCTTGCACAGGCAAGTGCCAGCCATTTCGAAAGGTAAATCCGTCAGCTATGAAAATTATAAAATCTATCACGGTGATATGTTTGAAGGAACAATCCCTTCAAACAAGGGTGCACCCCTCGGGTCTTGGATCCAGAACGACCGAGCGAAGGACGGATCCCTTCATTGAGGTCGACTCGCAGGGACGTCACCGTACACGTGTTGGACTGATTGGAGTCGGAACAAACGGTTCAATCCTAACCTCACACACGCCATCTGCAGATCAGCCACGTGCATTACCTCTGGGAAGCTTTGCGCGAACGTCGAAAGCACGACGGCTTGGTGAATCCCAACCTCACCATAACCTCAACGTAGTGGCGAGTAGCGAACGTTGCACGTGGAGTGGTGTAATACGCTAGCAGAGCCACAAACCTCTTACACGACAAAACAACGGACACCAGCGAACGAACATTTGCCACCCACGCACTCGGCCCACGTATCGCCGAGGCTGAACCACGGACACGTGTCCCGACATCCAGCGCTACAGAAGTCAGGTTAGCACAGATAAAACCCTATTCGATGTACCCCCTACTAGCCCTAGTTTTATGAATAAACACCTGAAATGCACCTCGCAGTGAAGAGATTCGAAAGTGATCGAACACGTGAAAGAGTGACGGAAGCGTTTAATTGGTTAAATTCGCGTGAACGTTGTTAATTATTCCCGTAGGTAAGCAGAGGCAAACCTTCAAAGGAAACCCCTCTTACTGATTTGAATGAGTCTTTCCCCTGTTGGTTAAGTTTTGATTTTCAGAATTCGCAACCGCTTTGCTCGCCTTTTGTTGTTACGATTGAACTCGCCCTGAGGTCTCAGAGCCGGGACGGGTCTGTTTGAGTCCCTCGCTTCTTCACGGTAGATTATCGTATCTACCTGGCGCTTAAGTGAAGATTGTAAGCATTCCTAGTTCCAAAACACTTGACCCGTTACACAATTCAATATATTGTAGACCAGCAATTGAAAAGGTACTATCAACTTTTATAAACAAAAAGTTGATTATTCGTTCCTCACTAATCGAACGCAAATAACCAACATCATCGGATAGGGGAAACTATCCCCAACCCAAAGACGGTTGTAGTTTGCATGGGCGAGCCTTGAGTCACGACACAAGGGGTTTCAAAGTTTTGATCGCAATAGCTGATGTGCTCTTTTCTGTTGTTGGTCGTGATTTGCTCAATTGTTTCCGCTATTTGACAGTTTGATTGGTTCCCGAGATTCTATCCGCCAGACTATGAATATATCGACTGCAGCTTTCCCCAGAAGAACACGTTACCCACTGAGTTGCACCCACCGCTTTGTCTCGGTGGGTTTTCAACCAAGCGCTTTGATTTTCTGCGAGTGGCTAGTTCTTTATTGACCCTACTCACATGCAAAAAATCAGACCGACTGGTTGAAACCCCGCCGAAAAAAAGCGGTGGGTGCAACTAAGTGGGTAACACGTCCTTCGGGGGATAGCTGTATACGTCTACGTGGTCAGTATGTGTCGCAAACAGCGGTGCGAAAATCCAGGTGATCACGGAAGGCTGTGACTGGAGACATGTGGCAGGTGCTGACAGTCCGGTAGACTTGATTCCGAAAAAAATAGGACCGAAGGATCAGAGTTGATAATAGAAGAGTTACGCAGGGTGAGGCTTGCAACACTGATGTCGATCAATGGGCATTTTTTTGACAACCTTTGTTTGTGTTTACACCTCGGATGACTTCACCTGGGTTGTGAAAGTTTCCTCTAGATTCAATAACAATACTTCCCACGCAACAGAGTCAGTTTGTCTACTATGCTCGATAGGTAGACGGTTTGACAGCTCGATAGGTAGATTTTGGTTTCAGTATGCGTAACTCTTCCATTATCAACTCTGCGAAGGATATTGTTAGGAGAAAAGCATCGATGCCAACACTTACTTGTCCATCCCTAGTTAGCAATACGTTCGGGAGAAAATCTCTCCGTAGGACCAACCCTACTCCCTATGTACACATTGTCGATCGTGTTGTATATGTAGGTACCTACACGGTAAGAAAAAAGTACCCAAAATTGAGTTCCTTTCACTCATCACGTGGCTTCCGTGGGGCTAGGTAAAATTAAGTTAAAGAAGAAAACTCAATTTTGAGTAATCCTGATCGTTGACCAATTTGACAAAAAAATAATAAAACGGAGCAGACTGGAACCAAACCATGGACGTTGAGATTACGGGGCCCGTGTGTTGACCAGTCGTCTATCAACGCTTGTAAAACTGAAAAGGTTAAAGGCGCATAAGAGCAACATCAATGAAAAAAAAAAAAAAAAAAAAAAAAAACTTATATTTGAGTTCATTTATTATTACTCAACAGTTGAGTAAATTTTAACCAACGCCGCTTTTCTGATCCACTCAACGGCGGACCTCAAATGATAGAACCCAACGTTGAGTTTTTTTAAACTTAATTTTGAGTATTTTTTTCTTGCCGTGTAGGTAGAATGCTATGTGCTTTATCTATAGGTGAGGCAGTGCCTCTTACGAATGTATTAGTAAGCGGGGTAAACTTCATGGGTGGTAGTGTGGTCCCGTGTACCTGAAGCTTCAGGCACCCGAGACAATAAAGCTGCGACGTCACAATCACGATTTTTGTTCGGAGAGTTGGTTCTTGTGTCGTCACCACTTTTCATCTCCGAAAATGTTTCGTAGTATTGCTCTCAAGCACAAACAAACACTATCATGTGCCACTCCTGTATGTATATCTCATTGGGTAGAATGTAGAATTAGCCAGGGGGACTCTATCCCTGTCAACCATACATAGATGCACCATGGTTTTGAAACTTTTGGGCAAACTGACAGCGGTAAAACGGACGGAGGTATGACAGAACTTAACAGCTTACTCTTTTACACTTGATTCGCATTGTTAAATGCTAGAAATAGTAGGCTGATGCAGTAATTCTAACCCCTATATTCACCACATTGATGTGAGCTACGACGAAATTCTTGATTGTTGCCCCCGTGAACAATAGAGTAAAGTATTTATCTGTTGAAATAAACCGTCACGGAAGACACTTCGCCTCTTTTCGTCCCGTTTGTAATAAAGCTAGTGTTCACGTTAAATAAAGTGTTTCATGTTCTGTAAAACGTATGTTTAGTTAGTGTCCGAAATTTTTGACCGCGACGGACGCGAACATTTTGGTCCTATTGGTCCTTCGTGTAAATCGGACACTTTTTGTGCAATGTGAGGATCATTAAAAATACTCACTGCGGACTGCTGCTTGTAAGTGCAGCAGTTAGAGGCTGTTCATAAACTCCCCCCCCTCT